CGTTCATCCGATTGATACGAAACTTTGGGTAATGATTGGTCATATTTCAAGGTTTTTATGTAGGTAAGTAAATAAAATTGTATTCGTCCTGTCTCTTATGATGCCACTGCCAGCTGCCTAAACCGTTTATCCGATTGCGACTAAACTTTGGGGGTTATATAGTTCTTTTTTTGTTGTGCTTGCGTTATCGAAACATGTGACGCTCTAAGCTAAGGCAAGCAAATAGGACACTCTTTTCTTAAAAATGAAACCAAAGAATAGCCTAATTAATTTACGGAAATAATCGTCAAGATATAAAATATAAATTCGTACCTACCTACCCTACATCTGCAGCTGATTTAAAAACATGTCCGCAAATTCTATTTATAAAAAGGGCAAGGTTTGCCGTGACTACACAATTCATTTCAACCTGTCCCTTTGAGGACGACCCAACATGCAATTAAGCCATAAAGGGATTAAATTTACCAAAGGTTTAAGAAGTAATTTAAGATTTACTATAAACTACGGTAGGTACGACCAGGTACTCATTGGTACGGGCTTTCTCTCGCTTGGAAAGAGTGTCCAAGATAAGGATGTCTATCATGGAGATCGAAACCATAGAAGATACGATGATGGTCAAATTAGAGAAAAGATGCGCAATTAAACCATTATTATCGTGCTTTAGAGAAAACAAAAAAATTCCGATTACTTCCGAAGATATGACAGAAAAACCGAAACTTGCCGATTTTATGTTTATTTTTTGCTGGTGTTATTTGAACAGATACAACGAGAAAGACAAAAGACACTTTTCTCATTGCCACTTTTTGAACTCTACAAGACAGCACCCGCGCACAACTTGCGAGCATACCTATCGGATTAATTCCTGGAAAATAGAAAAATGTTAGATACATATACTTGCACGATAACTTGCACGATTAAGGGCCGGTTCTACAATGCTAGTATATACCACGGATAAGCTATTCTTGGAGTAACATTCGAAATTTTGGTTCTACATTTCCAGAATAGCGTTATTCCAGGTATAAAATGGCGGATAAGTTATCCCTTTGAAATTGTTTGGATATACCAGGCATTAAAGTTATTCTCCCATTCTATTGGTAGCGGCTTTGTATGTCGTTCTCATTTGTCACTTACTTGTCAAGCTGACAGCACGTGTTTTTTGTGATTTTTTTATCAAAATCAAAATGAACATACATATTTTCGACTCTGAGGAAGATGACTGGGATGAGTTTGAGAACGGACATAATCCGAAAATGTTTAGACGTCGGTTAGCTGACGTTATTTTGCTTTACATAACTAGAATGCCTATTCGATGGTTTACAGGCCAAATTTCTTTGAAGAATATGCCGATTTGGAATTCTTTACACGGTTTCGTCTGCAAAAGCGTACATGTGAAATGCTTCTAGAAATGATTCAGGATAGAATTCAAAGTACCAGAGACAGAAATCATGCGATAACACCAACAACAAAGTAGCTCTTAAGTTTACGTTTTCATGCAACATGCTCAATTCAGTTGCAGATTTTGCAGGTGTTAGCAAAACCTCTGGCTGTGGCATTGTGACCCAGGTGACCGATGCAATCGCCTCTCTTCATAATAACTTCATAATACTTCCTACTAGACCCTTGAATTCTNTTTTTTTTTTTTTTTTTAGTTTTTTTTTTGGGGGGGGGGGGGAGTATCAGCCAAGGCTGCTGTACCAACTCAACTCACTATACATTTACAAACATCTATGCTCGAACCGGGATAGCGCTGCCATTTGCCTCAAAATAAACATTATAAAGTCTCCCTCGTCACCATTGTAGAGTAGCAGTAACAGTAACTGTGCTTAATGTAATTTTAATTCCACTAACTAAAGTAACAAATGCGTGCATTCGGGAATCAATTTACCCTGACACATTAAAGATATCAAAAGTTATTCCTTTGTACAAGAAGGGAAATAGAGATGAGCTGAATAATTATCGACCTTTGTCAATTACTCCCATTTTTTCAAAAATTTTTGAAAAATTATTAAAAAAACAAATAATGGATTACTTTGAAACAAATAACTTATTTGCTAATAACCAATTCGGTTTTCGTTGCAAACAATCGACAAGTAGTGCAATATTGAGGTTTACGGATTACATTTTGGATAGTTTTGAAAATAGTGAGTTGTGTGTTGCCAATTTTTTAGACCTAACAAAGGCTTTTGATTGTGTGACTCACTCTTGCTTGTTGCAGAAGCTGTCAAAATATAATTTTGTGGACAAATCAGTTGCATTATTAGAGTCGTACCTAAGTAATCGCACACAATATGTTTATAATGATTCCGAATCTAATTTTAAAGAAATTAATACGGGAGTGCCGCAAGGTTCGGTACTTGGCCCTGTGCTCTTTTTGATATACTTTAATGACATTACAAATGTTAGTCATGGGAAAGAAATGATTCTGTATGCAGATGACACTACCCTTTTAAGCAGATTTCATAACCCAGCAAACATAAACTTTCTGGGTGTTTACATTGACCCTAAACTGAATTGGAATGATCACTGTAATAAAATTGTATCGAAACTGTCAAAAGCATGTTTTGTTTTAAGAAGTTTAAAAATGATTGCCTCTAGACATATTGTCATTAATGCGTACTATGGTTGCTTCCATTCAGTTATGAGTTACGCTGTAATTGCATGGGGTCACTCGGCAGGTATTAAACGGGTCTTTGCAATCCAACGACGTGCATTGCGCATTATTAGTAATTTGGGATACAGAAGCTTCTGTAAAGGTAAATTGATCGAATATGGTATTTTAACTCTCCCTTGTATATACATATTAAATTGTATAATTCACTGTAAAGAAACTCATTTGAATTACCAGACAGGACGTGATATCCATCAATACTCTACCAGACTGTGTGATAATATTGCTTTAAAACGGATACGCCTTACTACTAGTAAAAATTGTAACAATTATTATTGCATAAAGTTTTATAACAAAGTACCCTCGGATTTAAAAACACTGCCTATGAGTAAATTAAGAAATGCTGTGATTAGTTACCTTAAGAATAACGCTTTTTACACTTTTGATGAGTTCCTACTAACTGATTGGTGTTCTAATATTCTGTGATATTTTGTCTATTTTACTTAAGTGTTTTACAGTATTTTAACTTGACCTTTTTTATGTTATTTATATGTATAAATTGCTCTGTTAGTAGATGCACTAGTTTATAGTAAGTTGACGACACTGATATAGTTTATATACTATGATAGCTAGAACATTTAAAGATTAAAGATTAACAGAGTAGCATAACTCTTTTTTTTATATTCACTTTTCGTATTATTCTAAGATTGGTGGTTTTTGAGAAATATAAAAATTTCGATTCTTGGCCTTGACATAGACATAGGATATTCTAAAAAGACAATTCCTCATCGCGCCAGACAATACTAATTAGGATTAATTAATCAAAAACTAATAACGAAAAAATTTGAATGTACAATATACTGTAACGTAAATTTAATTACGTAGTTTTATTTATTTACGAGTACAATTAAGATGATGTCATATTCGCCTTCGTTATTTATCTCCGATGACCAATCTTTCATTGCGCCTCGATGTCGATCGGGATTTCTGGAATATTCGCTACGTTATAATCAAACGTCAAAAGTATTCGATTTTTACGTTGAGTTAGCATGCAAGGGGACCTAAACAAACGTCGAAAATGGCTACAATAATTGCATGTAGAAATGCGATCCACCGTATGGTTGAAAATAAAATTTGGAAAACTGTCTGATATTCACTGCCACGGCGATCTCCTGCATTTAAATCATAAAACAAAATAAACGGTTAGGTCGGGAAAAAATCCAAGGTATGACGAAGCGAGTGAATGCAGAATGAATATTGATGAAAGCTTAGAAATAAAATGGCGTATAATTTAAGTTGCTTACATAATTTTAATGCCAGAAAAGTCGTTTCTGTGACTGCGATCATCAGACGAGGACACGTACAGAACTAGATCGAAGAAATTTTAATTAAATAATTACATCATGCCGATTTCAGTACGTTGTTTATCTTTGGATGGATGAAATTTATCAGTTCAGTAAAATTATTGTATTGATTGTTGCAAGGTCTGTGACCGCCCTTTTTGTCCCCTTATTTCTCCTCTATTTATCAACCACTTTTAAACTACTCTTTATTGTATCTTAACATTATTTATGTTTACACGTGCGACGTGTCAGATAATGTAATGGTTGTGGGGTGTGTCTGTGTGTGGCGTCTGGATCGTCTGACACGATGCTGTCAATCAGTTATCGCCCAGAGCGGCTGAAAAATTGCCATATATTTTCAAGCGTTGAGAGTACCATGCTAAAGGCCTTTTAAAATTAAAAAAAAAAACGTAATGACTAACGAACGCTGAGCGAGTTTTATTCAAATTGTCAAAAACAATTAAAGCTGAACTAAATGCTGCGGAATCACAAAGAAGAGGGATGGAAAAACAAAAAGCAATAAAAGGGAAAAGCTAGAAATTTATGTGATTTTCGTAGTGCGTGTCGGTAATCTATCGGGATGTTATCTATTCAAAGCTTGCGTGCGCGATTTATTTGCTATCGCTCAGGAATTTGCTTCAGCTATCTATCAAATTTTGTCTGGAGGCAATTTCGCATTTCCTACAACGTGTAAAATGCTTAACTTCTTTAACATTATGAAAGTGGGTTAAGTGGAGACGCCAACAGGTCCTGAGATAGCGACGCTGATAGTACGACGCTCCAGGCGCGTCTCTGATATCACTATGTAGTCATCGTTTTTATCTTATGTCGTTAATCTTTCAACAGTCAACATTTACACGAGCGAGGCGCGAAGAAGATGAATATTTCTAAACTTTTCGGTGAGATCTACTAATCGACGCAGAGTTCGTCCTTTTTGTCTTACCACTGTTTGTGGAACTTCCTTTTTTCCTCAGCATAAATTTTCCGTTACAGCAATGAACGGATGTATCTTTTATCCAATTGACATAAACTATTTTTATTTGTTACAGCTGCGACGACTTCAAAGTTGGATGCGATTGGTCACGTGCAACGTTTAGTCCTGACGGGCAGTACGTGGCTGTGGGCTCTGCAGATGGTAGTGTATTTATATGGGGAGTCGCTACGGCTAAAGTTGAGACAGTTTTAAAGGATCACGGGTAAGTATCAACATCTTTATTGCTTGATGTACATACTGCTTCTTAGATTGCATACAGAGCAGAGAACTAGGTTTTGCTCATCTTTACTTCCCGTGTTTCCTTATTTCAGTATTTCATTAGTACATGTCCATATATCTTGCTTACTTTCATTTTCACTTTCATTTGACGATCTCAATTCAAATCGGTCGGGGATGCGATCTAAATAATTGCAAGAATTAAAGATTGTGGGTTCTACCTCGAAATGCGGTAAATGTAATTAATAACAACTTCAGGATCTCCCCATAAGCGTATAATATGAAATAATGTAGTTAAAATGGTTACGACATGTTTCAGACCTTAACTAGTTCCACTATCAACGAAATTTTGACATTGTGTTTGTCAAAAATATTCTTAGGGTTTTTCGGTCAATTTTTTGTGACCTAACCCGATTTTTCTGTCTACGGTGACTGGCCTATAAAAATTATGAAATATCGTTGAACATTGTTAAAGGGTTTCATAAAAGCTGTTAAATGTTGAGCAATTAAAGACTTTTAAGACTTTTAAGAGCCCTAGAATGATCTAAAGGGCTATTGGGGACAATCAAAGAGTCTTGGAAGCTCTTCTTAAAAGCTCTAAAGCTCGGAGGAGAACTCTTTAGAACACTCAAAGACATGTTCTAAGAGACTCTTAAAGACCCAGAAAAGCTGTTAATGAGTAAAAATGCCTCTTGTAAACTTTGGAGAACTCTCAAACGATGACATATTAGTATTTTTTCGACACTTAAAAATGCTTTAAAAAGCTCTTAAAGATTCTTAAGAACTTCGAGACTCTTAAATGTCTTAAAGAGAGAAAGGAACTTCAACAAACACTAATAGTTTTCAAGAGTCATCAACTGGAATCTTTTGGACAAGGGATCTCCTTAATTATTACGTACCTATAAGCAGTTTTCTGAAACATTACTGCTTTAGTTACGTTCTTTAACTGTACATCCAGATGAAGCCCTAATCACTTATTAATTTTCATTCCTGTTACTAAACCTAACTTCAATCACAATAAATTTGGGTTGAAAGCAATTTTCCATTTTGCACATATTTCTCTGTATGCTGTATAGTAATGTAGTGCTCTGCATGCTTGTAATTGTTTTTTGCATGCTCAATGAAGAAGTGTTGGCCTGTTCTCCAGGTCAGCTGTAACGGCAACGTCGTGGAACCCGTTTGGAACATACCTAATCAGCGTGGATAGATCGAAGAGGGCTGTCGTCTGGGGAGATTGAGCGCGTCCCTTCTGCTTTCAATAAATAAATCATTGCCTACTATAAAATTTGTAAGAATGCCGTATTGTACATTTTATGAATATTGAAATGAATTTTTCTAAACAATGTTAAACAAAAAGAAATCATGATATTGCTTGTTATTTGTAAATTTTGTAATGGAACAATATTGTTACAACATTTTTAATGAAGTCAACTCGTGTAGATCATAGTTGTAGCTTAAGTTCGAAACTGTTTTATTATCCATTTTTACATCACGGTATATTGTAAATATATTTTGTTATTAAATTTTGTTATTTCTTTCATATTGCCTAAATTATCGAGATTGATATGATTGCAGCTAATACAATATTTTGTTTTTGAAGTAGACACAACTACCAAAGTTGGAAAACTGAAAGTGCATATGAAGGTAGGTGGGAATTTTTTTGTCGTATGTTAATATCGCTACCATAGTTAACACGGGTATTTTTTTAAATTAGACTGCATGTTTGTGCCATCCCGGATGCTCAACTCAGCGTATAATAATGTTATTTATTTAAGTACCTCATATGAATATTTTATCTGTGTTTTCAGACTATTCAAGTAGTAAAAACATTACTCGAATAGTTATCTTACCTTTTCTTGTTCTTATCAAAAAAGAAATACGCTTGTAACCTTTTATCGCCCATAGATTAAGAATTTGCGGCGCTTTTAACGAAAATTTGATTTAAGATTTTATGTAGGTATTCAATAGTTCTGTGAAGTGATACTAAAGACTTTAGGATATTGAAAGAAGTATTTAAAATAATTGTTTGTGGCGAGGGAGCCATATTTACGAGTATAGTAGCTGTTCATTAAAAAAAAGCAGTTATTTCCATTCTTACCACCTTAAGTTTCGAAATTCCCATTCTTAGAAATGGAAAACTCACCATGTATAAATAATATCTATTTACTCTTGGCATACCTTGCTCGTCAAACGACGCCATTTGCATTGGGGCTCTTGCAGTGTGCTCAGTACAAAATGTTTTTTGAAAAAATCCGTAATGTTTCGTGTTTTATAAGTAAACGTACCTTAAACTCTCTCATTAAATAAACTACAATAATTAGATTTATATTATCTTTCCTTCTAACAGGTGCTGTTTCGTACATAAAAATAAACCTATTAAAGTTTGTGTAGAAATAATACCTAGTGCTCTAGTCCCTCAACCATTCTTTTGGAACACCCTAAAATGCCCATTAAAAAGATTCCTTCTAGTTACGTACTTGACCATTTCAAGGGATCTCTATTTTTACTAGTTAGATCAAGATTAGTGCTTTATTAATACTGTATGTAATTAAATTCTGGGAAATCATTAAAGCCTGTACAAACACTAATTGGCTGTCACAAACTTAATGCGACCGGAAGCTTGGGTGGTTTACATAGACTAATCATATCAAGGCGTAAGATTTAAATTACTGCGGACAGGGTTATTGCCATTGGTGCTACTTTTAAAACTAACTAGCCAAACTTGTTATATTTCGATGCATTTACCACATTTATAGATGAACAACACTAGGTATAGGTAAGTATGTACTTCCAGAATGGATAGTCATTATTGCCCACACTAACAACATTTTGTGCTAGAGCTATATTCGACTCCTCCAGGTCTGCCGGCGGAACAACGATTGCGTATTTAATTATATTTTAAAGGATGGAAAATGCTGCTACGTCCTTTATGGGACCTTGAGTCCTGCCACACTCGTGAATAGGTATGCAAAAAAATGCTGTGGCTAATAGCACAGATACCACCCGCACACACGCGCATGTGTGATTCTGCCCTTGTAGGTCTAAGAATATATGTACCAAACTTGGTTCCAATCGGTTCAACCGTTCAGCTGGAAATGAGAGTTTTTCCTGGGTTGCTGCAATTGTTCAAAGTTAGCAATCCAAAAACGTATAAAACTTTAGTTTTTCAAATTGCAACTACTATTTTTGATGCCAGAAATGAATGTTGCTTTGAATTTTAGGGCCACAGAGATTCACTTCTGGCATCAACAGTAGTTGCAATTTGAAAAACTACACTTTTTGACATTTTTTGACTAGTAATTTTGAAAAATCGCAATAGCACTGGAAAGTTTTTCAAAACTTTCACTCAAAAATTTCTTAAATTTTAAGGATTTGCCTCCTAAAAAAGACCACCCACTTATCTTGAACAGTTTACGAAATATGAATTTTTGAACGGACCTTTGCATCTCCCAATTTTTAGAGAAAAATTGACATGTCAAATTTAAAATTTAAAACAAAATAGAAAATGGTATGTTTCATTTAAAAAACCAAGATGACTCCAACTTCCGGTATTTACGGAAGCGGCACCATCTTGAAATTACTTTATTTCAATTTCCAATGGCCCATTATGGCTGTGAGCCAAATTTCCCTGTGTATTTTTTAAAACGCTAAAATGCTTCAAAAAAATTTTTTTTAGTACTTGCAACTGCCCATGAAACATTTGTTAAAAGCGCCACACTATCTTATGGGCGCTAAAAACGATGCACGTACTTTGGCGTCGGCTCTCAGAGGAGACAATTCTGAAAATTACTCAAAATGTTATATTTGTGGAACGTTTCTACAAAATTCAAACCAGAAGAGTGCAAGTTCAGTTGGATTGAGTGTTTGAGGTTCCTATATAAAATGTGATTTTGTTGTTTCGAATTTGGAACCCCCTCTTACTCTCCCCGTATACTGCGCCAGTGGCAGACGCGCCCTTTATCAAATTTGAGGTGATAAAATATCACACATTTTTATATCTTATTATAAAAGCCGCATTTGTACACTGTATTTGAGAAATCAATTATTTCTATGGTTTACCACGAGGTAACCAAATATAGTAATTGTAATTGAAACTGCGTCGATGATGAATAGTGCAGATGTTCCAAACCTTTAATTGACTATTGACCGCACTTTCCGCGCTACAGAGAGGGCTTATACGCGAGACATGCTATCGGTCTATGTCAAGGGATTTCATTAATTGAGATATCCCATTTCCTATAATACCTCCTTTCAGTGTCGGTCTCTGCGCTTTTCACGAAATCCATTAAATTATCGAAAAATTTAGAACAATATATTTTAAACATTCACCTCCCAGTGTACGTTTCAGTCAAAGATTTGTAGTCCCTTATAAAAAGTTGTCGATTTATGACGGAAATGTTGTACTAAATCACTTTGACATCTCTTTGTATTTAAATTTATAAGGCAGCTACCGTCAGTGTATAAATCCTGAAGTGATTCGATTCTTTATAATATAAAATATTCACTTAACATCCAATCCCTTAGGCGTGGAACATTTCGCAGTTGTGTTCTGAACGCCACAATTACGAAACTTTACGAAAAAAACGCGAACGCTTAATTTTATTCTGATTGAAGACCATTTCTTATAGCTGTAAACTTTAGTTTTACAGTTTTAATGCCTGCTCAAATTCTCTTCGAGACATCCCCTATTTATATCTACACCGCCACTCATAAATAACCAAATAAATGTGCCTAACGCACCCCTATTGGCTATTGTACCACGACCCCACAAAAATAATTTCTGTACAACACTTCTGTTCATTCAATTGAAACGTTGTATTAGGGTGGTCAATAGACCGTTTATTAGCATTTCAATAAACGAAATAGTAATTTGATTTTCCTTTACCTTTAATGTTAATGGTTTGTCACAGCGCTGTATTATTTATAAATTCATAATATCTGTAGGCTAGGAGCTGAAGTGACGGAAATAATACTACTCAACCGTTATTAAGGGAGTAGGGATGTGGCGGTATTTCTTTCCTAATATTGAAAATATAATCTCCACAACAATAATCCTAATCCAATAGTCCTTTGGTACTGAAACTTTTTACCCACTTTTTTTTATTATACCTGAATCAAAATCTCCGTTTTGAACATTCAAATGCGTGCGAAATCGGGCCTTTAAAACACAAGTGCTTTAAAGGTTGCTAAGAAATGTTACTCCAAATATGACTTATGAAACTGTCATTTGGGGCTGAAATAAAAATCTTCTTACGTCGCTTTCTGAAGATTTAAATACTTTTGACGTTTTCCTACAGCATTATTGATACATTTAAGAAAACAATTTTTCCTATTCTTTATAATAGGCTTTACTGGATTTGGATACTGCACCTTCCAACTTTTCTTCTGCTTTTGCAACAAGCCATTGAATGGACGGATTTTTATAAGCAAACGTCAAGTGACATTTGCATGGCAATCATATGGAATTACGAATGAACAGTCCATTTAAGTAGATGTATTCGAGTATGAATATGATTTTATTTCTCTGATTTTGAAGTTATATTGCAGGTATAATAAAAATACCATAAGAAACACATGTATAATTGACCTTTAAAGCACTTGCAACGTTTAGATGCACTGCGCTACGCATCGTGTCATTAAACTCGTTGCGAGTGCTTTAAAGACTTGATTATACACTTATCTCTTAATATACTGTTTGCAAGAATGTTTTAAATTATTTTGTTTGGCGCTTGAAATCCCCTCTTTTCGTTGTGAGTGTGTTTAGTTGATAGTGATTGAGAATTTGAACATTGTTATTTTGATATTGTTACAGTCCACATATAATTATACCGACTTAGGTTAATAAGTGTTTTATTCATTTACCTAACATTTTGGTCCTTCGAGCCGGATAAGAAGATATCAGAAAGCAATCCAGGTGTCCAAAGAGCGTCAATCTGATAGTCTGCAAGTGTCCACATACCGATCCTTTCTTATCACGTAAGCAATTTTACCTTTTCCATTTTATAGAATTTTGTGTGGTTTCAATTTCTAAAAGATGCCTAATGCAGTGGGCCTTAAAAATAATAAAAAAATGATTAAAGCGAATTTAACTCGCTTTAAAAATTATATTGAATCAATTAAAGATTTAGGATATGATGAAAATACATTGGTTCAATTAAAATTACGCTTAGTTAAAATAGAGCCTTGTTTGGAAAAATTTAATGATTTGGAAGCG